TTCAGTGTCATCGCATTAGCTTGAAGGCTTTGGTGTGTGCACATCTGCTATTCTGTCTATACCTTCCCACAGAATTTCCACTTCATCAGGGACTGAGGCTCAAGTGTAGCCATGAAAAGGATTGCCACAGAGTGGCAACAAGAGCCTCCTAGCAAGAGATGGCATGGTAGCAGCTCTCAGGACTTGTGTTGATCCAAAATTCATATTTGTCAAGCTTTGTGCTTAGTCAATAGCTAGGTTTTTGAATGTGCAGTTAATCTACTGCAGACCAGGACTGGTATGAGCAGTGGGACACTGCAGGTGGCAATGATGACGAGCCTACATGGACTGGCTATGACAGTGAGCAGGCTGCCTGGGATGCCTGGGATGACTGGGGTGAGCCTCAATGGAAGAAGACTACATGGCAAGATGATTGGGGTGAGCCTCAATGGAAAGATGACTGCGGTGAGCATCATTGGGAACATGTAGCACCTCAGTGCGATGAGTCCACATACCCTCAGGCAGTGCTGTACATTCATGTCTTTGGAATGTTTTGTTCAATGGCCTTGCAACCAGGTGTGTTTAAATGACTACAATATCTTTTGTATGACAAATTGACTGTGCCCATTGTTTTACTGTCAACCCTTTGCAGGAGCAAGCTCACCAAACATCTGGTGCCACTAGGGTCACCTGGGAGAAGAAGGAGAACTACCAGCAGTATACTACAGAAGAGTCAAAACAACATGATGATGCATTACATCAGGCTGGTGGTGATACAATGAAGGGCCATTCAGCTGTCCAGGATACCATTGAAGAGGAGGAGGTTGAAGAGGAGGAGGAGCAAGATGAAGAGTGTAATGAAGGATATTTCCAGGCACTGGTTGCTGTGGGCTTGGACAAAGAGTCTGTGGAGCGCAGGGAGTTGGAAAGGAAAAACAAGCCTGGCCCCAAGGCCCATGTGCACAAGGATGCTGGAGAGTTCATTCCCACCAAGACTGGCTGGTTCAATCAGTGCTGCTTGGTGATGGCCTTGTACAGGACACAGAGGCAAGGACTACTCAACAAGGTGGTGGCCAATCTTGCAGAGCACGACCAAATGAGGATTCAGCTCATGATGTTAGAGTCCCACATCCATAAATATGGAGATGATGGTCCAAAGAAGCTTGGATATAAGACCTGAAGAGATCAGGCCATAGGTGACAGCTGAATGATGGAGAGTGAAAAGGTACGTATGATTTCTTTGGTCCAATGCTGAACTCATTAGCCCAAAGGGCTTGTCACCACAAATGTTTTGGAATAAATGAAAGCCTATTAACCAACATGGTTTGATTTCTATAGACATTAGCCATCAAAGGCTTTAGACATTGGCCTTCATATGCTTTGACAATACTAGCGCTTTTGCAGCATTGTGCTTCAAGATTGTTGATGAGTTGAACTAATATGTGTAAGGTTATTTGGGCTATGCATGTAAGGTTCAAGGTTAGTAAAATAAGCAAAAACAAAGTTTATCATAAGGATAACTACCTAACAATTTCAATTCAGGTTGCTGAATTGAAATGTTAACATTTCAATTTTCAATTCAGCATGCTGAATTGAAATATTAATATTTTATGTTTCAATTCATCATGCTGAATTGAAATGTTGAAATTTTAATTTTCAATTCAGCATGCTGAATTGAAATATTAATATTCTATTTTTCAATTCAGTTTGCTGAATTGAAATGTTAACATTTTATTTTTTAGTCTATATTTACAGACTAAACTTTTAGTATATTTTTAATATCAATATATATATATAATTGGGAGTCTTGAGCATGATCAGTGTCAATATCATTAGGCTTATGGCTGTGTATTTACACATAGTCATTAGCCTTTTGGCTGAGTCTTGCAATTCTACAAATTAGCTTTCTGACTTTATAGATTTGTTTGAATTCAATTTGACTTGAAATATAAACATTCATAATTGATATGTCTGAATCTATTTTTGTTGTTGGTCGACTGTTTGATTCAATTCACTGCTTGCTTTTCAAGCATAGTTGCATCATTGAAAGTTTTGTCTGCACACTCACAGGCTCAAGCAATCACAGGTGATCCAAGCTACTGTGAATCAATGGCTCAATGGTCAGTGGAAGCTTTGGAAGGTGAGATTCTGTCTCTAGCAGAGATTCATCTAGCTCGACCAGGCGATGATGCGGCCAACAGCTTTGCAGAATCTGTCATCTTCAAAATTCAGCATGCTGGAGAGATGAGTACATCCACCTTCACAAGACTTTCCAATGTCTTGAAGAAGTCAACCCTTACTAGTACTTTGAAGGAGTCTGTGCAGAAGGCTTTGGACAATGCAATTGTCGACTCCAATCAGGGAACTCTGAAGCTAGTTGCCAGGCCCCAAAGCCTCTTGAGCGTTTACAACTACCTGACCACTGAAGAGTTGGCATCAGTAAGGGCTTCACCTTTGCCAGCAATGGTGAGTACCATTGTCAAGAGAATGAAGCTCATTGGCTTGAAGAGTTGCAAGGAGAGTACTAAGAAGTACACTGTGGCATTTATTATCTTCATCTTGTGCCAAAGAGGGGAGCCACATCCCACAAGCAATGAGGTCTACAAGCTTGCGCAATACTTGGCTGATGCTTTCAACAGTTGCCAGGTGACTTCTTCAGTTGTGGGCCTTTCACAATACCCAAGGGGGTAACAGCTTTGTGTCCTTGGGGCCAACGCACCATTGAAAGGAGGGGCAATGCGCTAATGCGCCCTGCTGGGGACACACTGGCCGGTAGGGCCAGGTTACATCAGGGACGTGCTCCCTGACCTCAAGCTGTGCCATGTTTGGGAGGCCTGCGCGCGACTTACTGGCTTTACACCGTTGAAGACTTTTACATGTAAACAGTGGAATACTTCCCGTTTTTACGAATCGGTCTGTAAGCATTTTGGTCAAGGTCTGATGCTATTGCTTCTCAGGGAATGGACGTAAAAACATCCAACAAACTCGATTTTGGTTTGTGACATCGAACAAACTCTGTGCTAGCTTCAGAACTGAATGCGTAACCTGGCGTTATATGTCGAGGTTCAAGCTTACTGTCTGGCCTCTCAACCTGGTCCACTCACCGGTCTTCTCACTTTGTTTGTTCTGCGAAAGTTGTGTGAGGCGTGGACGCAGCGCTACCCAGATGTCGGTGGCTTGCGAGAGGTCAAGAACTTGCAGAAAAAAGGTGTTCGTTACAGAGAGAGACACATACACACACAGACATAGGTACACACACACACAGAGACCCACACACTGACTCAACACACTAGACTTAACACTTCACACGGAACACTTACCACACAACTCACACTCTAACTTCACACGTGGTGAAAAATGATTTTCGGGCCACTCGTCGTCTAGTTTTGTGTTTTGCAATGTTTTCTCGCAGGCGCATTTCATGATGCAGAATATGCATCTTCGTTCCCAAACGAAAATGCCCCCCTCGTAAAAGCGCTTAGCAGTGAACGCATATCGACAGTTTAACGCCGCAGCTGTTCGTGATCAGGCCATGGCTGGGTTTTGGCAGCCAGGTCCAGCCCATCGGTTTTGGCTTTGAATTTGTAAAATTGTCAAGATCATCGGCAATTTGCCTGCCCAGACAACCCTTGCACTCTCCCTATCTATGGCAGGGTTTTGGACCCTCAAAACCCTCTCCAATTGAGCCTTTGATTCTTTGTGGCAACAGTGGTATGTTTCTCGGATTTTTGCAACATGCATGGCAGAACCCGCATTTCCTAGCTGCGAAGCAGCTACCTAGGCCGCGTTGCAGCTAATGTGTTAACACGGTTAACACGGTCGGAGATCATCGTTCAGTTCAACTCAGCACAGCCCAGGAAGTTTCCATCGACATTGTCACCGCCAGCACAGCTGCAGCAGACCCGATCACTTTCAGTAGCTTGAGACCTGACGAAGATGAGAATGGTGATTTTTCGACAAAGAAGAAAACCTTGGAGTGGGGGGACGCAAAGGACACATCCACCATGGCAATCTACAGATCCTGAGGCCTGGAAACCATTTTGGAGAAGGAAAGTGTTTCTTTGGACATTGAAGAGATCGGCCTTAAGTTTCGTGCGATTGTGTGACCTGTTCCACTCTGGCTTTGAGTCACATCCTGCTCATGTCTGCCTGTGGGGAACTGTTGTTTCAAGCTTCCAGGGTGCTGTTCCAAGCCAGCCAGTGGTGGACACGCAGTGGACACGGCCTGTGCGGGGAAGGAACGAACTATGGCCCTTCGGCCCTTTGGCCCACGAAGAGAAGATAACCCGATTCACCTTGGAGACTACCCAGACACTCCATTTTCAATAGCTAAGGACCCTGGGAGTCCAAGATTATTTTTAAAACAACACATCACATTGATATCAAAGCGGTTGACCTGGCTGCCAGTCATGTTGTTTACTATAGTAAAACAATGGCTGGGGCCATGAATCCAGAGCTCTTGAATGCATGGGCCAAACGTCGCCCAGCATGACACATGAACCAATCAAACCACTCCAAGCGTCGCCCAGCGTCGCATCGTCCGAATCGTCGGCGGAGAAAACACGCCGTGTCGCCCAGGAAGGTGTTCCGCGTGATTCGCCTCACGCGCGTGATCAAGACGGTGGCTCGACGGGAGGAGTCCAAAGACTGCGTGGTGGATGGCAAGATGACGTGAATGGTTGGATTTATGGTTGAGACCTGGTGCATGTTAATTACAAGCTGCAGGTCAGGATTTGGGTGGGGGACACAGGGAAACAGTCTTGCCATCCTGCTAGAAATTGATTGTTGGGTGGCCAGACCACACCGTGGTTTTCAGCCCGCCATTCCGCCTTTAAGATGAACAGTCTTGCAGACAGACCCAGAATTGACGGTTGGTCGAGGAAGTTGTCCTACTTCTTTCCGGATCTATGACCCAGACAATCCATGTATGACCTATTGACCTATTGCAATGGACGGGTGGTTTCCAATGTCAGCTGGTCGGCCAGTCCCGACGGAACCAGTGTCCTGCAGCGTCCTGGACGGAACACCCACGAACACTCGGTCTCTTCAGGTCATGTCCGGTGTCGCTTTGAGAAGTTCATCCTGCATACTCTTCCCACAGCGAGCTTGTGCATCCCCAGCCCACTCCATGAATGAAGAGTCGAGCAGGTATGAGTAGGTACCGCAGTAGGTACCCCACTCGTTCGTCATGCAGGTCTCCTCTTCCATAGGTGATCGATTCTGCTCCAAGTTTTGCCGCAGAAATTCGTCGGAAGTCATAGGATCGGTTCGGGGTTGGTGATGGTGGAAATGCTGGCAGGGGATACCAGCAGGTGTTCGCCCATTTCTTCCTATCCAAGTACCTTCTCAGAAGGTACTTGGACCTCCTGGCACCTGCATAAGAGTGTCTCCAATCCAATCCCCTGAGAAGGTACGACTGGATCCCTTAAAAATAGCTTTGGGCCATTTAGAGTCCACTACATCGAAAGGAAAAGCACCACCACACAGTGCCTGTGGAGCGAGCCCGGTCCACGGTTGGCCTCAGGTGCGCTTGGTGCGGATCTTCCGCTTCGTCATTGCCCTCCGGACCCTGGTGACCTCGATCGTCCACACCCTGTGGCTTGGTCGCGCGCGGTCGTCGCGCTTGTGCGGTGCGTCGCGCCTCGCTCGTGGGTCGGGTCGTGGGTCGGGTCGTGGGTTCGAGGTGCTCACACTCATGAACCTGGACAAACCCTGAGGCTACCCTGAAAGGAGAAGGGCGGCGGTTGTTTGTAGGACACCGGCGGACCTTGGCGAAACGCCCTGTTTGCGTCCGAAACTCGAAGATTCCGAGGCACGGCAGGCACGGCAGCTGTTGAGTCGAAGGTCGGTCTTTGTATCGATCGGTCGGGGTCGATCGGTAGCCCGAGGAAGGCGCTCTTTTGGGCATTGACCTTGTTGGTGCTCATTGCCCCTCGGCGTGACCGCGTACTTGGCACGAGATCTCGGCATGTGAGGGTGTCTCGATGGATGACGGTATACCAAATGCTTTCTAGGTATATGGATGGTCCGATGGTCTTGTAGTTCATTGAAGGGAAGGAAGGACTGTATATGATACCCATTGGATAGCTAATAAGGAACCAGTACTCGTATCACGGCGAGCCCAGGGTGGGTCTCTCTCAAGCCCAGTCGACTCATCCAGTCCAGATGCAAGCACTATCAATTCTTGACACTATCAATTCTGAAGGGTGTTTGACTGAAGGGTGTTTGAATATTGACAGTCTCAGTCGACTCAATTCTTGGTATTTGACACTATCAATTCTCAGTCGACTATGCACCGTTGGGACGAGCCGCATGAAACTGCCTCAGTGCAGGAAAAGCCACTTGCCACCGCTTGTCAACTTTTTAGTGGTGAATGGATGCTGTATCTGAGTTCTGAACTCTGAAAGCATGGAGATTCATATGGATATATAGATACAGTAAGAAAAATGGAGATTTGCTCACCCAAGTGCCTGACTGGATCTTAGTCTTCACGAGGTCTATGTGTTTGCGGTCTTGTTCGCACAAGCTGCATCTAGACCTGCCAAACGTGGGCGGCCAGGAGGATGCAGGTCAAGGTGTGTAAATCACTCCCCCAAGCTAGACCAGCACCCGAAATGACGCAAAGTCACGTCAGTGGTGAACTGGTGTGCCCAGCAGTGTCTCGGTATGAACTGGTACTTGTACTGATAGAAGATTGGTTTTGATGGAGAACATCCCGAAACGCCGAAATGCGACGTTCATAGCATAGGGCCGCTCAATCTGGTCGAAGCTGATTTGCCAGTTTGGGAGTAGGTTGACAGGTCAGACCCTGTATGTTGCGTACACTTGTCAAACAAGATCTATGGTACGGGTGAAGATTTCAAGGCGACCCTTGGTTTGGGCACTGCGGGACGAGATCACGACCAGGCTGACCAGGCTGATCAGGGTTTGGGCACGCAGATCCATATCCGGTGTTTTGTGTCCTTCCCCCAAATGCACTTCTTTTGCATGGTTTGGGCCACAAAAACGAGCCTTGATGAGATTGAGGATTCGACCCATTGCCATCCTTCCTTTTCAGACCTTGGATACGAAACCATCCTAAACCTCTGGCTTTTTCTCTGTGGCCTGGGGCAGGGCCTCGTGCAAAAGTCGTGCGAAAAGGTAGGGAAGGTGCAGACAACCTAAAAATGGCCACCGAGATAGCAAGCCTTAGCATAAGAAGCCTTAGCCGCCGCACAGCCCGGTTGAGGAGTGCCTAAGGCCTAAGACTCCTTGGACACTCCACACATGTTGAGGGCTTTTGACCAAGCCCTTTTCACTTGAGAGCCCGGATTCCTCCCAGGCAATGACCCCGAGAAGTGGGGAAGGGAAATAGGCAACCCATGACCCAGCCAATGCAGGGGTCCCCTGCATGAAAACACACACCCGGGTCCATCGGGCACGATGACCGCCGATCCATCGGTCACGATAACGACCATCGGCTCGGCTCGTTCCGTCCCTTCACGCAGTTCCGTCCCTTCACGCAGTCTGGGTGTCTTTGGTCCGTGCCTTTTGGAGGAGAGACACCATCGCCTATCGAATGTATCGCGTTGAACTGCAGAAACCCCAGACTCGGACTGGAAGATCTGGCGTACATGGACCCCTCTTTCAACCTCCCCAACATTGGGTCAATATGCCTCCCCTAAAGGGGGGTCGTGTTGTGGAAGCGACTTCTCAACGCCTCTCGCACCAGACTCGTTCTGCAGGTCCATGAGCACCTTCAAGAGACCGGAGGAAGCATGAACCCAAAGGTGCGACGGCTTCTGATCGGATTCCGGTGCGACCGCTTCGGTGTCCTTGGGACCACCAGTCACAGATGTGGGAGACGGGGTGGGTCCAGACGGAGAGTCCAGTGGTGGTTCCTCGCAGATTCGAAGATGAATCTCATTTTGAAATAGACAATCACACCGGCCCAGAGGTCTGACTCTGTCATCACAAACTAGCTCTTGAAGGCCGTGGAATTCTTGGTGATTTGGTCAAGGACCTTCGGGGCACTACCTTCGGGCCATACCATTGATATTTGTTGATGAATTATATATATATATGTAAGTGTTTGTATGTACAGCCCATATATACTCCGCTATAGGTACTGCAGACACGTGACTCTTGACGTATTTTGGCTCAAGGGAGAAAAGGCGTTCCGAAACGTCGAAACTCTGTTTTCATGGTAGCGCACGAGTCCGGTGAAAGTGACAGGGACAAAGCGCTGCGCATAAAGGAAGAAAGACATAGCAAAGTCGAGAGCTCCGAGGAGGAGGAGCTGGGAATCTCGGGAGCGGCAGCTTCTGCCGCCCCGAGTGGAAAAGAAGAAGGAGGAAAAGGAAAAGAGGAGGAGACAGAGCCTTTGCCAGCCACATCAGCGGCGGAACCAGCCGCAAGCACCACTCCGGCGGTTGTAGAAACTGCCGAAACAACATCAGCGGTTGAAGGAACCGCGGAAACAAAAGAAGAGGAAACAAAAGAAGAGACCACAAAAGAGAAAGAAGGAGGAGAAGAGGAAAAGCCTGAGCAAGACCCCATAGTAGAGCCAGAGGCTGAAGCGGCTGATCCAGCCGCACAGCCATCCTCATCTGGCCGAGTGATCGCCGACTTCCAAACCTCCCCAGAAGGTGTCAAAACAGGTTGGGAGGTTCGTGGCATTCACGCCAAATATACCCCAGCCAAAGTTGATCCCAAAGCACCTTGGAGGGTAAAGAAGAACATTTGGGGACAGGTCAAGAAGCATCCAGAGCCACAATCCGGATTTCGACTTCGGAGCAAGACTTCACTTCAGTACCGGAGGCTCAAGGACCTGGTCAGGCTGGAGAAGAAGAAGGGTGTCATCACAGAGGATCTGAGGAGGCGCATCAAAGAGTTTGGAAAGGGGCGCACTCCACAAGAGATCAAAGAAGAGCGGGAAGAGCAGAAGGTCCGCAATCAAGAGAAGCGGACCAAGAAAAGGAAGACCTCAGAAGCGGCTGATCCAGCCGAGGAGGAGGAGGTCGAAGAAGAAGAAGAGTCGGTGAGCCATCCAAGTCCGGTTCGACAGCCTCGAACACCGGACGGGCCACCGCCGGCTAAGCGACCGCAAACCCGCGACACCCAGCGGGGACGGGCGGTCTGGGGGCGTGCACTGGAGTTGAACCTCCGCATCATCGCCCTAGCCAACGAACGGGCCCAGCGATTGACGATAGAAAATTGGAAATTAGAGAGCCCGTTCCAAGTGCGAAAGTTTGCGGCCGACGAACTTTGCGAGCAGCGGAATCTCAAGGGCACCGTTGCATTGGCCGCCATTCGCGAATTGTGGAAGACCCCCCAACGAACAAGGAAAAAGAGGATCCAACGAGGCCTGTAGTTCTTGTGACGAACGGCGGCAGGCACAGCTGCCGGTGGTGAAGGACTACATCAAGCGGCGAGGACTTAAGGGACCTGCCGCTCTTGGATCGAGCGCCAAGTCCAAAGCGGCGCCGGCTGTGAGCCTGACACCTGGGCCGAAAGTGAAGGCCAAATCGAAGGCCGGACCAAAAGGAAAGGCCAAACCATCCGCCGCGCCAAAAGTAGCGGCTGAAGCGAAGGCCACAACTGTGGGTCGTCGCCCGGAGGAACTCACGCGGACGATTGTTGAAGTCCGCGGAGTGCCAAAACCCTCCGATCCTTGACCGGGCGAACCGCCCGCGACTGCCGCTGGAAAAGGAGTGAGCGGCAGCAGCAGCAGGGGTTGAGGGCAGGAAACCATGGAACAACAGATCCAACAATTGAGTGACATGGTACTTCAACTCCAACAGAACCAAGCGAGGTTGGAGCAAGAGAATCAAGTGTTGAGGGAGTCTCAAGGTGGGGTATCAATGCTAGCTTCAGCTGTAGGAGAATTGGCTAAAAGCCTCGAGAAGAAAGATGATAGGAAAAAGTCCCAAATCCTCATGGACACCAAAGGTTTAGGACGCCCCGAGAGTTTTGGGAATGTTGAAGGGGATTTTCGAAAATGGGCCAGGAGCATTGATAACCTGTTCATAACTACTTTTGGGAGAGAGTTCATTGAAATCCTGGAGTATATTTTGGAGCAGGAAGACGCGATTGAAATGAGTGCTATGGAGTCCGCATTTGGGACTGGAACCATAGCAGCTATCGACGATTTGGAGGATAAAGCTGACCAAATTCATCGCGTGCTCCTGACCCTGACCTCGGGTGAAACAGAGGATTTGATGGTAGGAGCTTCAAATGGGTTTGAAGCATATCGGCGAGTTCACCGCCGTTGGGATCCCCGAACCTCGGGACGGAAACGCAATATACTTCGAGCGATTCTCCAACCGGAGAGAGTCAAGACATGGGCCGCGGTGAGGCCGGCGATCGAACAGCTCGAAGAGCTCATCAGGCGGTACGAGTCCCGGAGGAGTGCCGCAGGGATTAGGGAAACCCTATCGGACGACATCAAGTCCGCTTCATTGGAGATGCTGGTACCCCCAGATCTAGAGAAACATCTTTTGTTGAACAAGAGTAGATTGACAACCTATTCGTTGATCAAGCAAGAGATTGAACTTGTCATTGAAACATCCCTCACATCAAAGTCATCTGTTCCAAAACCAGGTTCATCAAGTTCAAGTTACCAAGGACCTCAACCCATGGACGTCGATTCGATCGGACAATGGATTGCAAGCCTGGTCAAAGGAAAAGGTAAAGGAAAAGGTAAACAGGCCAAAGGTGATGGAAAGAAAGGCTCAAGCAAAGGGGGTTCAAGTAAAGGCTCAAACCCGGCTCAAGATATTACCTGCTACAATTGCGGTAAGAAAGGACACCGAGCGGCCGATTGCTGGAGCAAGAAACGGCCGGATGGAAAAGGCGATAAGTGGTCAGGTTCAGGCAAAGGAGATAAGAGTGGTAAAGGTGGCAAAGGCAACAAAGGCAAAGGTGGAAAAGGCGGCAAAGGTAAAGCCGCAGGAAGTATGGAAGAGATGGACGAACCGGATGATGGCATTGAGCCAGCTCCGGAAGCCGATGTCGGCATGCTCATGGCAGACTTGAGTGGAGTTGGAATGGCGGATACCTCATCCGCCGAAGAATGGATGAAGTTTAACCTGGACACTGGAGCAGCCTAGACAGCCATCCCGAATGGCTGGGAGGATCGAGTGGTTGTCAGTGAAGGCAACGGAGTTGTGTTCAAGACTGCATCAGGAGAGTTGGTGCCCAGTCAGGGCATTGGAACCTTTGAAGGGTTCGACGAGAGCGGCAACAAATGCCGTGTGAAAGGTTCAATGGCTGATGTTCACAAGCCATTGATTTCAGCATCCAAGTGCTTAGGCTTTGGAAGGATTGCAGTTCTCGATGCAAAAGGCGGAAACTTGATTCCGCAAGGGTCCAAAGTTGGAAAGGCTGTCCAGGCGATCCTGGAGAAAGCGAACGCTGCAGAGCAGCGGAGTTGGATCCCTGTGTATCAGGAGCAGGGAGTGTACAACTTCTACTTGAGGAAGCCAGGGTATAAACCGACAAAGGAATGCTGTGGCATCGCAGAGTTGAACGCCACAGGAGAGAGAGGAGATGCCTCTATGGATTCAGGCCGACCTGGTCCAGAGGGGCGAGAAGAGGATGATGAGTTGGAATTAGTTGATGAGGTTGAGAAACCCATCCAGATAAGAGCACCGGAGGACCCAACTCCGGCTGAGATCGAAGAGCACGAGGCGACAGGCCATGTGCAATATCGAAGTTGGTGCCGGCATTGCATTGCTGGACGGGCTGTGGGACAGCCACATCGGACGAGGTCCGAGGAAGAGAAGGCCAAGAGCCTTGTGCCCACAGTGGCAATGGACTACACGTTCATGTCACGGGGCGGTGTGGAGGACGAGCGAGTGAAGCCGATCCTCGTAGTGAAGGATGAGAGGACACAGTCCTTAGCGGCGACCTTCGTGGACTCGAAGGGAGCGACACCGTATGCAGTGAAGTTCGTGGCGAACTTCCTGAAGAACTTGGGACACCGCAAGGTGGTTCTCAAGTCAGATGGTGAGCCATCAGTGGTAGCCTTGAAAGAGGCAGCGGCGAAAGAAACCGGCATAGACTGGGTTTCGGAAGAGTCGCCAGTAGGAGACCATCAAGCAAATGGTCTGGCAGAGAACGCCTGCAAGGAGGTCAAACGTCAAGTACGAGTCCTCCGCAGCGCGTTGGAAGAGAAGCTCGGCAAAGAGCTCAAAGATGATGATCCTGCATTGGCATGGCTGCCAAGACAGGCAGGAGACCTGTTGAGCAGGTACAAGAAAGGTCAAGATGGCAGAACGCCTGAGGCCAGAAGATGTGGAAAGCAATGGCGGAAACCTGCCATAGCTTTTGGCGAACGCCTATACTTTAGAGAAGTAGGCGAGGGAGTTCGCATCCTGAAAGAAGGACGCTATGTAGGACACCATGGCCGGACAGGATCCATTTTGGTGATGACGGCCGATGGCGTGCGAAGAGGCACAGGAATCCGGCGGCTGAGTTCAGCCGACCGCTGGGACCCAAGTGATTGGGACCTTTTGCGGGGCTTACCGTGGGAACATTCCGCGGCAAGGCCTGCCGGCGAGCAGCTGATGCTCGAAGAGCGCCTTGTGGTACCACCTCCCAAGGAGGAACGAGTGGCACCACCACAACAGAGGCGAGTGTGCATCAGGAGAGAGGATGTGCACAAGCATGGAGCCACAGAAGGCTGCCCAGGATGCAAGTGCATCTTGGAAGACAAAAGGACGACCTTGCCGCACACAGAGGCGTGCAGAGCAAGGATCACCGAAGCAATGGAAAAGGACGAAGCAGGGCAAGCGAGACTTGAAGCCCATGCAAAGAAGAGGAAAGAACGGCAACAGCTTGACACTGTGAAGCCGAAAGTCGTGGCCGACAAAGACTCCGACATCCCAGCCGAAGACGCGGCTGGGGAACCAGAAAAGAAGGAAGAAGCAACGAGCGCAGGGTCGGGAAGCTCACCGCCAGCAGCAGCAGAGGGTGAGAAAACCTATCCCGATGACCCGAAAGAGAGATATGAGATGAAGAGGCAAGCAGCCGAAATAGAGAAGAAGCCAGTGGCGAAAGCCAAGGTAGCAACAGAGCCCAAGAAGAGAACAGGAGAACTTCGGATAGATCCACCTGGGGCAAAGGTCAAGCCGAATCCAGTTCAAGGAACAAAGAGGTCCGCAGAGACCGCCGTAGAAGACCTTGATCCCAGAGTGGAAGAGAGTCCAAAGAAAACGTCTCAGTTTTCACATGTTCCAGAAACACCACCAGCAGGGTGGAGGCCAGATGCAGCCAGCTTAGTAAAAGAGAAGGAGGTCGCAAAGCAGCATCTGAAGAAGATCATTCAAGGAACCTATGAGGCGAGCGGCATTGAGATCTCTGAGCAAGAGATCGGAGACATCGCTCATTTGAGCATGCAGATGTCAGCAGTAGATATCATGGAGATCTACTCGCCCAAGAGGTTCACTGCGCTTGCAGAGCGCTACAAGTTGCGACCGGGTTTTGCGGTCGACTTGAATGAAATGAAAAGTGATGGAACATACTGGGACTTGAACAAGCCTGAAGATGTTCAAGAAGTGCATGACATCCTTGAGAAGGACGAACCGGCGCTTTTGACTGGTTCGCCACCGTGCCATATGTTCTCGCAGCTCCAGAACCTCAACTGGAGAAGCATGGCACCGGATGTCCGGAGGAGGAAAATGGACGAAGCCGTCCACCATCTTCATACGAGCGTAGAGCTGTATGTCAAGCAGCATCGCTCAGGGAGAAAATTCCTCCACGAGGCACCTTGGTCCGCGACCAGTTGGAAGGATGAGAAAGTCGCGGCCTTAGCAGAGGAAGATGGAGTGTTCATAGTGAAGGGTCCAATGTGCAGGTGGCAAATGATGGCCACCGACCGAAGAGGACTCCAAGGCACTGGCTATGTGAGAAAGGAGACCGGTTGGATGACCAACGACGAAGGGTTAGCCAGAGTCTTGCAAGAAGTCTGCTCGAACGAGTCGGGCAAAGGACCATGGCACCGACACATCCATCTGATCGGAGGCATTGCAAGGCAAGCAGCGGTATACCCACCGCCGCTCGTGAAGGCAGTGCTGAGGAGCCTGCGTGACACACTAGCTGAGAAAGGTGAGTTGAACACCTTTGATTTGTTTGCAGCAGGCCCAGTTCCAGAGATGCCTCTGATGGAACCTGAGTTCGAAGAGATTTACATGGATGATGTGAACGGCGGCATTTTGCCAGCCGAGAAAGTGAAAGAGGCAAGACGCCTTGAAATGAATTATTTGAAAGAAAAGCATGGTGTTTATGTGACCCGGCCAAGAGCCGAATGTTTTGAGGAAACGGGGAAGCCCCCGATTCCAGTCAGATGGTTGGACACCAACAAGGGAGATCCAACAAACCCGAACTATAGGAGCCGATTAGTTGTGCGTGAGATAAAGGCAAGAAAGACCAAAGAAGAACAATTGCCAGCCAACTTGCTTTTCAGCAGCACGCCCCCATTGGAGGCGATGAGACTGCTGTGCTCGTTGTGGGCAACAAAGAGAAAGTCCTGCCACAATCAGCCGCTGAAGCTGGGCTTGTGGGACATCTCACGAGCACACTTTTATGGAACTCCAAAGAGAAAGATCTACATAGAGCTGCCACCTGAGGACGAAGCCAGCAAAGATGGACAAACCTGTGGACTTCTTGTGAAGTCGATGTATGGAACACAGGATGCTCCAAATATCTGGCAGACGCACTACACAGAGACTCTGCAGAAAGCTGGTTTCCGCAGAGGCTTGTCAAATGCGTCAGTCTTCTACCAAGAAGCTTGGGACGTCAGAGTGATGGTGCATGGAGATGACTTCCTAGCGCTTGGAGACGCCCAACATTTGGAGAAGCTCAGCCAAGTCCTCAAAGATGCCTATGAGCTGAAATGTCTCGGAATTCTTGGAGACGAGGATGGAGACCGAACAGAAGCTCATTTTCTGAATCGGTTAATTCGAGTCGAAAAGAAGAACGGCAAAGGATCGATTTTGATCGAAGCCGATCGGAGACATGTTGATCTTTTGATCCAGGCATTTGGTCTGGAAAAGGCAAATGGTGTAGAATCACCAGATGTCAAGAAGTCGGCAGATCAGCAGATGCTGGAAAGCCGCAGTCCGCTGCTTGATAAGAGCGAGGCATCGAAGTATCGTTCAGCAACGATGCGTGCTGCGTACTTGTCCCAAGATCGACTTGATATTGGGCACGCAGTCAAGAACCTTGCTCGAGGTATGGTATCACCAACAGAAGCCAAACTTGCTGACTTGAAGCGTCTCATCAGGTACTTGAAGAAATACCCTGATGTTGGGCAATGTTTTGGATCGCAACAGACACCTTCAAGGTTGAGGGTGCAGGTTGATGCCGACCATGGTGGTGACGCTGTGACACGCAAAAGCACGACTGGCATGGTTGCTATGTACGGCATGCATGTGTTGAAACACAGTAGTAACATCCAATCCACTGTAGCCCTTTCTACAGGTGAAAGTGAGTACTATGCACTTGTGAAGGGAGGATCTGTGGGCTTAGGCCTCCAAAGCCTATGCGCAGACCTTGGTTTGGAATTAGGAGTCACCATCGAAGGCGATTCCAATGCAGCCAAAGGAACTGTGAATAGAGTGGGTTTGGGTAAAGCCAGACACATCCAGACTCGCTACCTATGGTTGCAAGAAAGGGTTGCCGAAGGCCACTTGAAAGTGCACCACGTTCCAGGTCTCAAGAACAAAGCCGATGTTTTGACCAAATCGGTTCCTGGGGTGCAGCTTCGCAAAACCATGGAGGACCTGCAGTATGCATTCCTCAGCAAGCGAAGCAAAGGACAGTTAGATGTTTTGGAGTAAGGTCCCTGGCCAAGCTCCACTACCACAACTGAAAGTGGCTAAGCAGCGAGAGTTTCACATGTTTACTTTCATGCTTGCGCAGCAGTACAGTGCTTTGCAAGAGGAGGAGTGTTTGTATGTACAGCCCATATATACTCCGCTATAGGTACTGCAGACACGTGACTCTTGACGTATTTTGGCTCAAGGGAGAAAAGGCGTTCCGAAACGTCGAAACTCTGTTTTCAGTAAGGGCTCCGCCCGGGTGCGGCCGACCCCTACTTTAGTGAAAAGGGATTGGTAGACAGGCCATCCCTGCGCCCGCCACGAATCTTTCCGTGTCCATACGTCTAACGCGCACAAAGGACTGCGCCTGCCACGAAATGTCACCTGCGTCGCACCTCGCAACCTCACGAGTCCTTGCGCCTGCCACCAAAATCGTACTTCCACACCTCAGAAGCCGCACAAAGTCCTGCGCCTGCCACGAAAAGTGACAATATCAACTCCCTGGAAAACATAGAGGTGTTCTGGAAAGGTCATCTGGGCTGGGGTGGTCAACAGCAGGTAGGCCCAGGCGCAGGCATGCAGCAGCCCAGGTAATGGCCACAGTGCGGCCTGCTGCCCTATACTGCCCAAATCGGGCTGGCCAACAGTTGGCCAGTGCAAGCGGCGGGGGTTTGCAAACGACACCATCTATTTCCGCCCACAACAGCGGTCGGAACGGGGGGGGGTGCAGCCAACCAAAATGCCTGACGTCACACCTGACGTCACCTGGCACGTCGCCTTCGGGAGCCCATAAAGCAGCTGCATGGCATTGCCAGAGACTCACTCCCAAGGCTCCGGCAATCTATGCGCCAGCGGCTCCCAGTTGCCTGGCATTGCCAGAGGCTCACTCCCAAGGCTCCGCCAATCTGTGTCGCCACAGCTTTCAGGGGGGTGCACGAGTGCAGCAAACCAGCGGGTTTCGCAGTGAGGGCTCTAGTTGCCTGGCATTGCCAGAGGCTCACTCCCAAGGCTCCGGCTCAAAAAAGCCAACAGCCCACGGGGTGGTGGCTCGGCCAGGACATGAACCGCCCACGGCTTGGTGGTAGTGCCAGGACATGAAAGCAGAGGTAGAGATGCCAATGCCAGGACATGAAAGCAGAGGTAGAGATGCCAATGCCAGGCCATGAAAGCAGAGGTAGAGATGCCAATGCCAATGTTGCACCCTGTGATGCCAATGCCACTGTTGCACCCTGCGGTGTCTCGGGCGCCTCCCCGCCTAGGCTTTAGCTAGGCCGGGGTCGGCGGATATATATATATATATATTATGTATAGCATACTTATATATAAATATTTGTTGATGAGTTATATATATATTATGTATAGCATATTTATACATAACTAGCATCACCTCAACTAACGAGAACAAGGGCCTCCCGGGGATTTTTTATGGCTGTTTCTGGTGCCACTGTTCGTTCCTTAGCACCGGACCCACCAGGAGGAAACGGCACCGGTGCCAGGCTGAGAAGTTTTTTGGCTCGTTGCCAAAGACGATGCTGAGCCTCTTCATGAGCATTGCAGATGGTGTGAGCTTTTCGGCGTGAACCTGTCTGAGCACAGGTGATGGGTCCAGGGTTTCAATGTTTGTCTCACGTGCCATAGTCCCAACCTGCCCAGGGTGTGTGTGGATCCTACTTAGGGTGTGTGTGGATCACCTGCGTTTGAATCTTTTCGGGGATTGACACTCCACACTAAACATGATGAGCTGGAAAAAACTTGGTACTGTTCTGTTCCAGGGAAACCCGGGTCGTCAGGGATGGAACCACTGGATGTTGGGGCCTTATAGACATGCGCAGCTCCCGGAGTTTGGGAATTCCGGCATGGTTGGTGGTTGCGATGTTTTGATTGCTCAGCCCGCGCGCGAGGTCTTCCTCCAACGTCTGTTTTGCATAGAGTAGTTAGAGTAGTAGTAGTAGTAGTAGTTGTTGTTGTTGTTGTTGTTGTTGCTGGTGGTCGATGTGACATACGATGTATAGTGGTGTATAGTGGTGATAAAATTTCGCGGTCCACCCTCTGGTTTTGACGTCCCGAAATGATGTGTCCCTTATCATTTAGTGCACAAAAGGGTCTGGCATGGGAAACGGCCACTGAACGCTTGCGCCACACCACCAGTGACATCGACACCACCAGTGGATGTGCTCCAGGTTGGGTGGATGTGCTTCAGCCTTTGCAAGACATCGACACGATCTGGGTCTTCTTTTTCCTCTTTTACGCCTCTTGGCCATCTGTTTGAGTCACAGTCACGAAGAGCCACGTTCGTTCGTTGTAAACCATCTTAACGTGTGACTTAGAGGGCAAAACGCGCTTCCACCGTGTGACTCCAACGGGTTAGATGAACCAATTGGTCCCTTTGGCTGAAGTGACACAAAGGGTTTGTTGCGGTAAGGGCTCGATCTCGGGCAGTCGCCGAGATCGGGCAGTGCGGGTGTTTTTGGTACTTAAAGGCACTTGATCGTTGGTGTCAGCTCGGCAGCTCCAAAAATGAACCTGGAAGTTTCTTGAACCTGGAATGAACCAGGTTTACATCGGCAGCTCGATCTGATCACAGATCTGAAGAAGAGATCTACATTTGTCCGAGGTCGCCACGGGAGATCAACCTTTGTCCGGTCAAGACCTTTTGTCCGAAAGCCGGTGGAGCAAATCCAACAAGGAGAAGTGAAACAGAGAGTGTTTGCAAGGTGAAAGCAGCGATCTTGCAGAAGTTCTGTTTAAACACATCTTTGCCTTTATCTCTGCAGACATCCAATACTTGCACACTGCTTGGAGTCTCTGGCCACCATTGTGTGTCACATGTGCGTTCTCGTGCTATAACTTTTCCCACGAAGTGGATGGTCTGGGGTCTGGTACGTGCCCCCTGAGAAGGCAATCAGGTGGTACACTCCCTGGAAATCATGATGACGTGGTGCCATGGCCCCCCGAGGACGAGGACAAGGAACTTCTCGTCTGACTAATTGGAGTCTCTGTTTGTGATCCTTCACAGGACTTCTCGTGACCGACCAATCCTGGGAGACCAAGTTTGGTCAACTGAAGGTCCTGGTACACCAGGTTTGGAGTCAAATGATTCCGAGAACAGGGGAATGGGGCAGGGCTCAAGGAATTCGTTCTTTTTCACCCCGAACACCGACGTTCTGAGTGAACATCGAGTTTTGAGTTGGCTTTTGGACCAAGTCCCAACTTTTTTGGACCGCCGCTGGTTTCCTACTTCAACTGTTTCTGTAGATCTGATTGAGATTGGGCCACTTTCCAAGAGATTCCCAACAAATGACCTGTATAGTTCGGATTGTGGACTCCTCGCACTCCTATCCCGTTTGTGTTCCTTCGACATGTCCACAACACATCTCTACCCACGTGGTGGGCACACCATCTACCGCTTCTGGGGACATCCTTCGCTCCGCGGAGCACCACGGAGCGCTGGTCTTCGCAGTTTGCTGCTGCTGAGGTCTCCTTCACCTATTTTGCCGTTTTAAATGTCGTGACAGGCTGGGCATCACCACGAGAAAATTTGCACCAACTGCGAATGATGAAACGTGTGTGCTTTGCCATGTTTTCCAAAGCACTTCACAGGATGTCTACGTGCCAACTATATATATATATGTGGAACGACTAACAATGCAGGCTTGTACTCTTGTACTGGGCCGTTGGACCAAACATTCCAAACATGTGAGACTTCACAGTTTTTTGGAAGCTGCGCTGGGTGTTTGGAGTATGGAAGATCAGGAATAACATTGCATGTGTTGTTCAAAAATTAGTAACTATATAATCCAATAGCTGATATAATGCGCTGCCTATAAAACTCCTGCCTTATATGCTAAGCAGTATATATGTCACCATTTGGAAAAATTCTTGATGGGGGATTCTACCGAACTGGACCGAGGTCTGGCCTGAACGTGTTCGGCGCCGGACCGCCGGACCCTCGGTCTGGCGACCCGGCCCGACCCAGATTGACCCCATTTGTGGTCCAAAAGGTATGCTGCCATGTTCTCCTGTTCCTGCCTGTCACCGGAGTGGCATATGCCACCTGGATGTTGTATCCAGTGCAACGCATAAAAACATAAACTACTCCAATTCTCCAAGCCTGCTGACGTGCTGCCCTCAAAAAGAACAATATATATACAGTATACATAATATAACTATTGTGCATTTTAGTGTTAGTTATCATTGATACCATTAGCTTAATTATTTGATTGTATTCTTGATGTTTATGGTACGCTTTTATATTAAACAAATAACAAATCACAAAACAAATCAGTTTGTTTTTGTGTGTTGGCAGCGGTTCATGTGTAAGCGGAAAATAGGTTGACGAAAAGAACGGTCAGGCTAAATGATCACAGACTAAGTATGAGGTAATAATAGTTTGAATGAGGCTACCAAAGGCTTATATCTTGAAACAGCATAGGCAATAAGACATTAATAGAAAGACAACACACAGCAATAATAATAGTCTACTTTCTTTAGTCTTTTTCTTGGGGAAGTCATTTTCATCGATTGAAGAAGTCATTTTCATCGTTGCAAAGGGAGAACAATACCAACAAGAATAACCATTGAAATCAAACAGTAGCTATTTTTTAAAAAACCAATCATCATATTGTTTCGTTCACTAGTTAAGATTTGTAATCATACATGCTTTGGTGCCTATGGTTTATTATCTGAATAAATCTTTGGAATCTCCAGCACATTACTATCAGTCCTTATAAGAATAGAATTTCATTCTCCAGGAAAAAGGATTGAAACTCCACAATACCAACACTTCTTGAAGGTAAGCATGACATTGCACGGCTTTCGTGTGATTTTCTTTTTAGTAATTCCTGGCCTGTTTGGAGGGATTTGGAAAGTATTTTGTACCTATCTTTCAAGGGTCTCCATAGCACTGCAAAATAATACGGGTCGGCAGTTGTCTATTTACATGATTCCTATAATTTGAAAGCTGCTGACTTCACAAAGAACCCGGCGGATCTAAAACCGCGCGTGCGTTTTAGCACGCCAACTTCAGAGGTGTTGCAAATCCACTGCAAAAAACAATGGAAAAGAGGGTTTGGAACCTCTTGTAAATCGGAAATTCTGTGTCCAAAACTTGGACCAAAATTCGCTTGAAACACGAAAAAAACCTGAGAAAACACACATGTTCACCGATTCGATCGGAACCTTTTCACAAAGTCGATCGGTCCAGCTCAGTGTGCACGCAACGTGGAGGCTGTCACTGTGAACAGCCTAGCGGTTTTGTTTCATAGCGCCATTGCCAGCAACGCAACCACAACATCACATCCTTGTTCTT